CGTAATGACGCAGCGGCATGCTCGAATTTCCCGCGAAAACCTACAAATTAGAAAACATTATTATAAGCTAACAGCTGTGAATCGGGCTAAAGTAAGGCGATAGTTTTGAACACTGGCTGGTTATGTACTTGCTCAAATATTGATTTTGGATCATTTTTAACCAAAAAAAGTTATGGACTGCAGCTTTAAAGTTCTTTTTCATTCTGATGTTGTTGACAATAGGGAGCTAGATGATGTCCTGGGGCCCGTTTCAGAAAGAAGGTTAAGTGAAAACTCTGAGTATGTTAACCCTGAAATGAGGGAAACTGGGTTTTCGGTTTCAGAATGGAAGATTTGTCAAACCCGAGAAAGCAGAGTAAGTCAAGCCCGTTTCTGAAAGAGAGGTAACTAATACGCAGTCAGTTATCATGGTAACTTACTCTGTGAACCTAACCTGGTCGGGAGCAGGCTTTCTTCGTTAAACCCAGTTTCTTTCGGTCTCCTCCCCCTTTTTAAAGCATAAGTGATGTTTAAATACCTCATTCATTCATTCATGCCTCAAAAATACTTTTCTTTGTGAGTATTTTGGAATCTAAATTAAGAGCATTTTACTTAACAGGAAAAATAATATTAATGCAAATGGAAACAAGATTATTTTTCTTACCCCATTGGCAGATAATTAGCAAAATAAGAAAAATGCACTTAAAAGACTAAATAGGCTACCTTATGTCATTTTTCTTATGTAGAAAATGCATCTTGATTTAAGAATCTTTAGATATTTTGACTGGAAACAACAAGACAAAAATACTAAGTAAGAAAAGCATTTTTTGCCGTGCTTGTACATTCATTCATTGCACATATTTATTTTCATCATGCAGACACTGTGAAAGTGACAAAAACGGCATGTCCAATACTGAATCCTGTAGATGAGGAGGCTACATTAATTCGTAGGGAGTTACATTTACATCGGGAGAGGATTATTTTAATTATTTTTTTATTTAATTTTATTTATATATTTTTTGCCATATCCACATGCATATTTATTTGAGCGGTACCGTTTTTAAATAGTAGTTTTCTGTATAACATGAGGGACGCCGAGCACATTAGTAAGGTCGCTGTATGCAGAGCGGTAAGGAAAGTGTGTCTCGCTCTCACGCTCTTTCTTATAATATTTGTGTAGTTTTCTGAGCATAAACCCATCGAAAATGAAGCTGATTACTGTATGGAATGGAATAATGCCAGATGGAAGGGTAGTTCGAGATATCTGCCGTAACCACCACCACAGTTGTTAAATTTATTTGGTCATCTTTATTTCCTACAAATAGAAAAGCAACAGTTATTCTTTTTCCTGTTGGATTTTAATATTTTTCCAATACTTGGTATTGTGGCGTTCTCCTCTTCATCTGTTCTTCATTATTTTTGCGAGCCTTCTTGCTGTTGGCTGAGTAGAAGTCAGATGTTAATTTAATTTACTCTAATTAAGAAATGCAACAGTTTCGATTAGAGAACATTTAATTATGTGAAACGAGCATTAAACTATGTGGAAAAAGCTGCAGTGCACTGAAATAGACCCTGAATTATATTTATTTAATATGTCAAAGGTTTGTAAAGTCATATAGCCTACACTCATGAACCTTTTATGCTTAAAGCTTTACCTTGATTGAATTATGTTTGTATACTTCATTTGAGCTGCTTTTTCTCCTTTTTTTCTTTTGCTTTTGCCTGTAGTATGGAAATTAATATTACTTAAATAATTTACTGTTCTGCCACTTTTTACCTTTTATATTATAACAGTGATTAAGAATTAAAGTGACGTATTGACTCGGAAGTATGCGGACGTCTTTTTGTCTGGTGCTGCTGTTGCCATTGTGAATAAATTTCCAAGCTCCATTGATCACGGCTTTTCATAGTCGTGGTGCACGCGCTAAACTCAGTCAACCTACTCCGAGTCGATTGAACTAACTCAATTCAGCTGTTCTGAACCCGAAAACTCAGAGTTTCCCATCTCAGGGGGTAAGTCAATTCAGAGTTCAAGTTTCAACTCAGAGTTGAAATGGGTCCCTGGACTTTATTTGTATGATGGGTAAATACCACATTTACAAAACAAGGTATCTCAACTTCAGCTTTAACTTTATTGCAAACTATTCACTTCTAATTTACTATTCTTATCACTTGAAAAAATCAGTTCTCATCACTCCTCCAATAAAAAAAAACTTTGAAAACATTCCATCTTATAGAAAATTTCTTAAATAAATGAAATTTTTGCATTTTATTATTATTTTTTATTTGAATCATTGTATCTCCCCTGTTCTTGTTTGATTGCCTAATGTTTATATGTATCTTTATGATATAAGAAAAGACACAAAAACATTCGTATATGCTCAAAAGTGCGCAGCTTTCCTCTGGACTACTGTAATGACTAAATTATGCGCAAAATGCGCGCAGTGTTGTGCTGCTTAAATCAGCTCAGCACTGTTATGTATTTGAGGATTTGAGGCCTCTGCGCACGCTCGGCGCTTGTTTACGTCTAATCACATGAATGCGGTAAAAATAGCTCCTTATAATTAACTTATTGTACAAAATCAGAATCGTGTAAATCAAGAAGTCACGTCATAAATAAGACATAAACAATTATATATATCAACAATTACATGAACAACAATTATATACCGTTACCTGGTTTTGTACCCGTTAATAACATAGATATTTGAAATTTTAACGGATTAGTTATGTATAATTCTACCTGTTTGCTGGCCGAAAGGATTTTGCTAACACGGCGTATATGCATCGCGTTGGAGCCCATATTATATCGTTCCTCTGCGAATTTGACAGCTTTCATAACCCCCGGGTCTGACTCCGACAGACGGACCGGGGATCCCGGAGCTCCGATAACCGGGCGATCCGGGCCATCTTCTGAACCCAGAACCAGCCCGGCCAGGACGCAGCAGGCGATGACGGGGTAACCGCGGTTAAAGTACATGTCGAGCTTTCGGAACAAAGCAGCGACGTAAGATCAGCGCAGGTCTTTGTTTTTAGACCGTAAAAAGCTTGCAGTGTTTTGTTGCTCCACACGGCACAGCGTCAGTCTGCGAGACGCCCCGCACAAAGATGGACGACTGAAAGACGCAGTGATGCCCCGCACAAAGATGGACGACTGATGCCTCTGTGAGGGGTGGGATATATTTTGGTTTAAAAACGTATATAATAATAATAATAATAATTTTCTTGTAAATCTCAACAATTATTGATGACATGAGAAAACTTTTATTTCTTTTTAAGTTGTTGGCTAGAAGCGAAAGTGTTCCAAAAATGTTATTATAATTTCTTGTTATATTCTATTAATAATCTATCACTAGTTTACGCCTCATCTAAAACATCATACATCAGTGCATTTATCACCGCTAGATGGTGTAAAATCGCTCAGAATATATATAAAACAAAGTCTTTCCTGCCCCCTGCTGGCCACTGGATGCTCATTAATAATTCTTTCTTTCACTGTTTCCTCTGTTCCGGTTGTCACGTGAATTTCAGCAACGAAAGCATAGAGTAGCTTAAATGTACAATATTCGTATAGATGAATGGTTGTTAGTTGTTTGGATGTGAAGAATTACACGAAACAAATGTAACTGCATTAGGCCATATATCCGATAGCTGTGTTTGTGAATGATACAGTTACGACGAGTGTGTCATAAATGGATTGTCAACCTCGAGGAAGAGGAGGGCGAGGAAACCGGAATGAAGAGGTGGGAGTAACCATGATTTATCACTTCCGTGGTCTTCTTACAATTTACTATTTTTACACAAACATTGATTTCAGGTGAGCAGGTAACTGATCTCAATTCCAGTGAAGGGGCTGGGGAATTGGGCTCTGGTGTAAGGTCATTTTCTCTGCTGTTTGGAGTGGAGGTAATGCTGCTTAACGCAGGTGTGGAATCTCTACTGCATGTTGGTGCTGCTGTGTAATCACTTCCTGTGTCCAATCATGGCAATCACAATTTTACCATAATTATGTACTACGAGTTCTTATTTAAACAGTTTTTGTCATTTTGTTAATTTTATGTTTTGTTCAAAAATCAAGATTTTAGTTTAAAATGTATTTGTATCAATATAAGTTCATCGAAAATATAAAATAACTAATATGAATTTCATTATGAAAAACAAAATGCTTTTTAAAACAGTTACAAGTATAGCAGGTCACAACATCTCCTGTGTGGAGAAGTGTGAAATGTAGGATAATAGCGATATTTTGTGTAATTACCCATTTACTGTGTTAAAGTTTTGAAAGCCTCTGTGCGCTGTTATGAATTATGTTATATTTCTATTTTGCGTTTTTCAGAACAGAGATGTGTGTCTGTCTAAATCTCTGTCTTATGCATTACGTCACGGTGCCAATAAGACGGGTCTGCAGATGAACTCGGGTGAGATGATATGTAGTGTATGATTGATGATAAGGATTGTACACCCACATGAGAACACCCACCCTGTCTGCTTACAAAGTTATGTAGGTATTTTGTGTAATTGCTTGTGAGCGGAGGATGATTACTGTTGTTGTTGGACAAGAAAACAAATGGTTCATTCATAAATTATAATTCCTTGGATTTAGTTTTTTTTAATCATCCCTTTTGTCTGTCTGCAATTATGTGTCCTTGTCCACAGATGGTTTTGTGTTTGTGGAGGAACTTCTCGCTCATCAGCAGTTCCGCTCGTTTTCACTGGAGGATGTGGAGCGAGTGGTGGCCACCAACGACAAACAGCGATTCAAGCTTTGCAACCACCCTGAGGATGGTCGTCTTCAGATACGAGCCAATCAGGGCCACTCAGTGAAGGTCAGTTTGGATCAGAGGTCATGCAAAGACTACAGTAGAAAAATAGATTTGAAAATTGGACATGGTCACTGGAGCATTTGCTTGACACAAGTTTACATATACTTTGATAAATGTTGTTACATAATGTGTATCATTCAGGTTACAGATCTGGAGCTGAGAGCAGTAGCACTTGATGACCCAGACTATCCAAGAGAAGCTGTTCATGGCTCATATATGAAACACTGGCCCTCAATCCGCAGTCAGGGCATCAGCAGAATGAACAGAACTCACATACACCTGGCGCCTGGGCTTCCTGGAGAGGGCGGAGTCATCAGTGGTGAGTGACTTTCAGATTAAATTCATTTATAGAGGTCTTTATTTTATTTTATTTTATTTTATTTTAATGGTAAAACTAGGATAGCAGAAAGCAGTCCAGACCAAGAATATGTGTACAAAATATGTGAATGTGATTTTTAAATATAATTTAAATACATTATTTGGTTATTTACAGTTGTAAATGGTCTCTTTTCTGTTTTTAGGAATGAGACAGAGTTGCGATCTAGCTGTGTATATTGATGTTGCGAAAGCTATGTCAGGTATTAAGAAAACATTTTTAAAACCAGTTTAAAGTTGAATAGGTTTAACAATGTTAGAGCTGAAGTTGTAATGATCCCTCTCCCTTCTGGTTGGTGTTTAGATGGGATTCAGTTCTTCTGGTCAGAGAATGGCGTACTCTTGACCCCTGCAGATGCTGCTGGGATGTTAGCACCGTGCTATTTCTCTCGAGCACAAAGACTGAAACCCTCACGTGAGTCACTTTCACAGCTAGCTCATCAAGTTTTACTGATAAAATAAGATTTGTTTCTTTTCCATGTACTGTTATTATGTAAAAATGTAAAAGACGTCCAGTAATCTTACAATATTCCTTTGTATGCATTTGATATTGTACGGTGCAGATTGATGATAACTGGATTTTAAGAAATCATTAAGTAATAATGCTTTTTTTCTTTCAGCTTGTGAAATTGAACTACATTAGCTGTTGGAGAGGATCTCCTTCTGACCTCAAAACCAAAAACCGGAGATTGAACTTTTGAAAGCATTAAAGTAGAATATCTGTTTCTAAGAAAAAAATCTTCTAAATAAAAACAACACATTTTTTGTTAGAACAATTACGCTACATTATTTATTAACAGAGTTGATTATACTCTGACATCAAAAAATAGAAATTGAAATAATTGAGATAAACCGAACACCCACAGATCACTTTGAGAAGGGTTCATGGGAAGACAAGGACTGATGGTCTTTTATTTTTTTTTACTTTTTTTTGAGTGTGCCTTTAACCTCATATAAAACTGCTGTGCAGTTGGACAGTAGTAAGCGAATATGCTTTGTTAGATTGAGTCATGATGTTATCCAGGAAATTACTAAGGCAATAGTAGCAGTATTAGATTCAGTGCATTTAAATAGACTTTTTACTATGCGATAATTTTTTCAGTTAGTCTGTTATCTCCAAATAAGGACAAAATCAGAGTTTCCTGCACTACATATATTATAGAGTTAGTGGCGTATCTACAAGGTTACGTGGTGTTTTGTATACAAATGGTCAAGTGACCTCCTAAGCATGTTTTATTTGTGGGGCAGTTTCTGCCCACTGCATATTTGTCAAAAAATAGAATATCTAAATACACTGAGCTCAAGATAGAAATGTGTCATGTTTCTGCAGGGGGATTTCTGCAAGCATATTTATGTACAGTGTGCTAGATAACAGTGTGCTAGAGACAAATAACACCTTTTTTTTGTGCTGCCGTCTGCAATTAATCCTGTTTCTGCTCTGTAAAAGCACACAACCTTTCAGTCAAAGGTCTTAAATGTCAGGTGGCTCCATGAGAATGCAGGTCTGTAGCTTTAATTCATGGTCATTCAGAATTCTGTTTTGACTGTCCATGAGCTGTTCAAAGGCCTATTCTTGGTATTGTCAAGCTGCTGTGCTTTTGGATTTCTGTCAGTAGTGTGGTGTGAACACTAAATACCCGCATCGCAAAGGTGCTCAGCATTCTTTCCCCATAAGACGATGGACTAGTTTGTAACCACGTGAAATAAATATACTTTGATGCACTGAACAAAGGGCAGTACACTGTGGAAAGAAGATAGCTCAAGAAGTTCAAGTGGTCATTAGGTTATATTTTATGCATTTTTTTTTTATTGAAATAATTTTCAATCGTCAGCATTTTCAAGCTAAAAGCAAAGAATCACTTTCCCAAACTTCTGTTTATAAAAGAAAAAAAAAACTTATTGCAGCTCTTTAGGTTGAATTACCTATGCTGTAGTCTTCATTTATATACTCTTTAGGTATAAGGAAGAGTTTTCAAGAGCTGGATGTTGCAATCTAATACTAAAGTTCAGTTGGTGTGTACTTTGTAAAACTGCCATTTTGTGTCCTCTTATCGCAGTGGTTCTCAAACCTGTCCTGGAGTACCCCCAGCCCTGCACATTTTGTATGTCTCCCTCATCTACGTGTCACACCTGATTCAACTCATCAGCTCATTAGTGGAGACTGCAAGACCTGAAGTGGGTGTGTCAGAATAGGGAGACATACAAAATGTGCAGTGATGGGGGTACTTCATGGACAGGTTTGAAAACTACTGCTCTATCGTCTCTAGGCAGCCTCTCAAAGCAAAGTTTCCCCTGATAGAAGAGGTCTAAAATTAGTGAGCCCCTATGACTGTCTTGGCCTAAGTGTGTCAGATTCCACTCACAGACTCCGTCTATCCTATTGCAGCACCTGCTCCTAGCTGTAACACCCTATTAAGCTTGGCAGAGACATGCACCTATGTCCAAGCATGATTAAAAAAGCTTCAGGTCAGGTTCATCCTGTACTTTTTTTGTGCATGCTTGTGTCTCTTTTTAAAAAAAAGTGGTGTCAATTAATGTTAGAAATAGCTGGGCTCTGTGAGCTCAGACAGGGCTAATGGTACAGGAGTCATAGCATTTTTTGGACTTCGCTTGAGGGGCTGGACATATCTGTGCACTGAGTGGCCTGTGATGATAAACGGTCAGTTTGGCACTCACAGGAAACCTGGACCCCCCAGTTGGAGCCTCATTCACAGCTCATGGTACAGTGCATAACTGTCCCCTGTGAATGTTCTCTGGAGGGGTTGTTTCATTCAAACTGGCCACATGGAAAACAGCAAAAAAAAAAGGCAAGTATCATATCTGATGACTTTTATGTGAACTTTGATTTCTGCATGTGTGTTGTAACACGTTTAACACCGGCAAAGTTACTGTATATATTTTTGCATCAGTAAGTTTTCTTTGATTTATATCTATCAGTAGTCATAAGAGTAATCCTGTTTACGATTACTATTATTATTATAATTTTGTATAAGCAAACTGTAAACTATTTTATTTGTAAGAGACACATTTGTTTCAAGTAGCTATAATTTCTGATAGACAGTCGCTTTTAGAAACTTTGTATAAAGCTAACAAGAAAATATTTTATATAGAAATTTTAGGATTTGTCATGAGAATTATTTAATTCCTATAGTAACAATTTTTCATGATTGTTTCTTTTGATGTTTCAGGTCTGAAAGCATTCAACAACTGATGAGTGACCAGCTCATGCATTTATAAAAGGCTCAAGTGAGACAACCCAATGTCTGTGGTATCTGAAGTGAAGAAATGGAACGCTGGGTTTTAGAGGGCGACAGCTACTCGTTTCTTCGCAGTGCTCCACACACGTTCAACCTGCAGAGTCATGAAGGGCCAAATCGTGTGGAGATCTTTGACATCACTTCAATCCCCAGCCATCATAATGCCATATCTGAAACAACCTGCCTGTGTGACATTTTTGGGGATGATGGCGAGTCTCCGTCACTTTCCAGTAGCCCAGCCTCTGCCACATTTATCAGGAGGGAAGTGGATCAGTCTTTTCCAGTAGATGATGCCAATGACTCTTTAGGATCTTACCACACTGCCAATGGATCTGACTTAAGCGACAACGCTGAAGTCACTTACAACACACCTTCTCCAGAAAATACACCAGATTTTTCCACATCTGAGACCAGGGAATCACGTTCACCACCAACTAAATCACCCATCTTGTCTGATTCCAAAAATGGACTTAACCAACTAGACAGCACACCACCTGCATCCAAAGTCAATAGTAATGACCTTTCACATACAGATAACTGGGAAGAATCCCAAGTGTCAGTAATCACTACCCCAGTGAATGAAATGGCAATCACAAATGCATCTGAACCACAGTATGTGAATTCAACACCAGCTACCACCCTGATTAATCCGGCAAAGAAACCTTCTAATCCTACATCCTGCTCTTCAGAAGAGAAAGAACCTGCTGTTTTTGAGCAAGAAGGAATTATTAAAACACCTCAACATATAAGCACAAGCCCAGTTTTAGATAAACAAATATTTGAGTCAGACTGTGAATCTTTGGCAGTATCTCCACTTGAACAAAATGTTGTTATGTCTTCTGAGGACAAAAAGAGCATGATCTATTGTAGTCCACGAGAGCAAAACATTCTTTCTGTGCAAGGGACGATGAACAGTGGCTCTGCATCAGAACTGTCAAAGCCTTCTCCAACAGATTGCAGCCTTATGCAGGAAATGTCTACTTCACCTTCAAACAGAGATATTAACTTTCTACCCATATCCAGTGTCATGCCAGAACCCAGATTGACCTCCACCTCCCCTGTAATCAGGGAAACTACCTCCACACCTGCATCCACAGGTAGATCTTCACCTGAGCTGCTGAATTTGTGTCCAACTCAAGTTAGGAACACATCGGAGACTCCAGACTTGGAGGACACTTATGGTGCTACTTTATCTGTATCTACACTGCCTACCAGTGATAATGTGGAAATAGATTCCCTAACTGTGTCTGACATTTCTACTGAAACAAGAGGACTGGTATATTCATCCATAGATGGAAGAGAAAAACTGGAATCACCTGAGTTCAATGAAACCTGCTCTTCTCCTGATCACTCAGCACCTGCTCACTCACAAGAACCAGTACTGATTCACTCCCCTGTAGGTTACACCATCAGTCCATCACCAACATATGAGAAAATATGTTCTTCAGTCGAACCTGAAGACTCACCATCCTCCCCTGTATCACCTGAGATCAATGAAACCTGCTCTTCTCCTCATCACTCAGCATCTGCTCACTCACCAGAACAAGTAATGATTCACTCCCCTGTGGGTTACACCATCAGCCCATCACCTACAAATGAGAGAATCGTTTCTTCGACTGAACCTGAAGACTCACCATCCTTCCCTGCAGTCACACGGATTGAATACAGGGATATTTGCTCTTCTCCTGATCACTCAGAACCAGTAATTATTCACTCGTCTCCATGTTACAACATCAGTCCATCACCTACAAATGAGAGACGGGTTTATTCAACTGAACCTGATGCCTCAACATCTTCCCCCTGTGATCACAGTGATACGCACTCCTCTTCTAATCACTCCATTCCAGCTCACTCACCAGAACCTGAAATAATGATGGGTTATACCATCAGCCCATCACCTACAAATAAGAGAATGTTTTTTTCAGTGGAACCTAATGACCTACCATCCTCTTCTGCCATCACTGGAACTGATTACACAGCAGCACCAACATGCAGTAGAGATTCCACACCTGCGTTAAGGAGCATTACCTCCACTCCAAACAGCAGAGAAAATTACCTTACACCAGAGCCCAGATCCCCAGCCCCTTCACTGGAATTGAGATCAGTTACCTGCTCACCTGAAATCAAAACAATATCATATAGTATTCTGCCACAAAATACAAAATCCTCAGGCATCACATATAATGTTATACCAACCGAAGATTTAGCACAATCACCTGCAGTAGAAACAAATGTCTGTGGCAACTCTTCTGAAACTTCCAGCTATCTTTTTGGAAATGACACCTCTGTCTTACCTAGCTCAAGGAAACTTTTGCCAACACCAGAGAGTAGATCAAGGCCCTCATCAGCTACATCAGACCATACCAAACAAACAACACTATCCTCTGATCTCGAACCTGAGCCTTCCATCACTCTTGGAAAGGCAGAAAATCAGAGTTTATCCATAATCTGTGATGGAGTTAGTCATCCCTTCTCTAACCCAATAGACCGTTTTGATTGTTTTGATGACCATGCTGACACAAAGACCCTCAAAAGCCTTGCATTTGTCCCAGATGAATGTAAAGGCAGTGGACCACCAGTTCAGATACTACAAGATTCAATCTCTAAAACCTCAGATTCTGGATCGTCCACAATAAAAATTGAGAAAAGTCAAGAAATTGTCACTGACAACACAACTGATTTAACATTCTGTGGAACACCAACCTCCCCGTGTCCATGGGATGCATCTCTACCAAAGCCAGTGGCATCTGTAGAGAAGAAACAATGCCATGTTGAGGTTTTTGATAGGAACAAGGGAACAGAAATGTTGAAAAATGATTCCCCAAGCAGTGACAAGAGGCTTAGTCAAGTGCCTGTAGCATTAAGAGAAAGCCCAGGGGTTATCAGTAGGGACAAGGGTGGTGAATTTGACAGGCAGCCATACAGGGAAAAAGAGGAAAGTGGAAAGAAGGAGGGAGAGGGGGAGGAGACTATGGGAGAGAGTAGTTACAGAGGGGAACAGGTTGAGCTGTCATTCAGTGCCAGGAATAGAAAAGGGCTTGCAGGCCACAGCCCAGCTCTCTCAAGTCGAGACCCAAAGTCGGGAATTCCAGCTCGCTGTTATTTTGAGTCGCACCCAACAACTTTGCAGCAACAGAGTCAGCTCAGAGCTCAGGGCTCACAACAAGAGAACAAGGGTGGTGCCAGGAGGCTCCTGTCAGCTGCCCAGGGTAAATACAGCAGTGCAGGCTTTCTTCTTCCTGAATGTTCTGGTGAGACCTCCAGCATGGGAAGTGAATTTGATGAAGCAGACAATGAAGTAAAGTGGTTTACAGATCTGGCCTTCAGAAGCCTATCTAGTCCTCAGGTGGATTATTTGGATGTGTACAATTCAAGCCACAGGTCCTCTACAAATGTTTCACAGCCATCGACTGTAGACAGCCCTGGTGCTGTTGCATGGATGACCTACGCAGATTTACGTGGCTCAGCGTTACATGAAAATGATGGTTCGTCTTTTTTACCCCGTGACGGCCTGGACCCAAACAAACGCTTTGAAATGGGGAGTTTTGAGTGTGTGGATGTTGCATTAGAGATCAAGGAAGAGTCCAGTAGAGGAAAGAGGACAGTACCTAAAAGGCAAATCCAGCTGTTAAGGCGGAACACAAATGAATCAAAACATAAAGGAAACAATGAAAATATTTTGTATTCACCCTCCACATATAGACGCTCAAAAGACGCACTTGTTCGTCAACATAGCACGCCAGCTTTTGTGCAAGAGGAAGTTTCCAAGGAGATGCCAGATTCACCACAAAATGACAGGAAAAAGACCTTGCAGAAGTCTGTGTCTTTAGATGATGGCTCCCCTAAGACACAAATGGCATCTTGCATTATCAAGAGTGTACTGTCAAAGAAAATGCAGGATGTGCAGAAAGAGACACCAAAAAGTACAGGCCCAAGTCCTTCTGGAGATAAAAACAAACATCCTGATGTCAGCCCCAGTTCTTTTGATGGTGTACCACGTACCATGGAGAAACATAGTTTAAGTTCTAGCCAGCATTCTGAATGTACTCTTTCATCTGAAGATTTTGCTGTCGGAGAGGAGAGAATTTCACATCGTCAGCCGAAGAAGTGTGCTCCAAAAGTTCCTCCAAAGCCATTCTTAAGACCTGCGTTCTTTAACAATGGGAAAGCTCAGGTAGCTGGCAACATTGCAAGGGAAGAAACCAAGCCTATAGTGGCCCCTCCACAAGTTGATGACAAAATAAAAAACAGCAAGAGTGATAGGAAAGAGGGAGGAGGTAGCAACCTTGAAGAGAAGTACAAAAGTGACTCAGCAAATGCCAGTATCAGTAACACAAGTCCTGTTATTGCTACACCAGCAATAAGCATGCAGAACAGAATGACAACCAGAGACATAAGAAAGCGCCAGATGACACCGGAAAACCAGGAACAACTGGCTGGAAAGAGTGTATTTATGTCGAAAACCCCAGAGATAACTTTGAAACCTTCTATCAAAGGAAAAAAGACATCTTCTCTGAAAGTGTCTTTGTCCCCTGACTTGGAACAGTCCAGAGAAATATCTGAATCTCAGGCAATGGAGAAAGCTGCAGAAGATTTAAGCACCAAATCTACTAAAGTTTTAGAGACAGAAGACGATGATGACAGCAACAAAAAATCTGTTATACATAGAGTTAGGGATGTGAGGAAGTTAGTGAAAAACACATACAACCTGTCTTTCAAAGCATCAAATTCAACATCTACTGCAGAAGAGACAGTGATTCAAGGGAAAAGAGAGAAGCCGCCGCAAACTCCTCCAGCCTTGCACATTGAATGTAAAGCCATCAGTTGGAAGGACAAACAAACATCAGGCAGCAAAGCAATCCACTGTCATGATGAAAAACTGCCTGTTGACATATCAAAAATATCACAACCATGGGTGTGCGCAGAGACAAAAAGAGATGCTGACATCACTGAAATAACATCCAAAGGCTCTTCGCCAAAGACTGAGTCAAAACAAAAAGCACCATATTCTCACTCTACAACCACAGATGGATTACGTGAATCAGAAAGTATCAATAAAAGATCTTACATTCACTGTGATCAGAGTTCTAAGATGCCCCCTAGACCCCCAAGTAAGGAGCGAGAAGTTTCTGCGTTGGTGGTTGTACCGGATTGCACATCCAAGACAAAGACTGTTTCCCCTACAATCCTAGACTCTACTCAAATGACAGCTGCAAGCAGCAGCCACTCCGTATCCATGCTACTGAAAGAAAAAGGGATGCAGGCTGACATTGGAATGTGTGATGTTCTCACTGAAGGTGCAAGTGCTACAGCTAAACATGTCAACAGGCTTGAGGTACCTGTACAGGCGTGTTTATCAGAAAGCATTTCAAGTGAAGTACAAGTAAAGGCAGAAAATACATTATTGCCTTGCAATCCAACAGCTTTAGTCAACAATTCGTCAAGAACATCTCAACCAAGTGAGAGTCCCAAGGGAACACTGACAGAAGAACCTTCAACAAAGGAACAAGAAAAAAAGAAAACTGCCACCACAACTATGACACAAATTCCAACTTATTTAGCAACATCTGGCAAGCCAGAGGTGAGGTCTTTCTCAGGCAGTACAAAAAATAATGCCACGCCAGTGAATGCATCAAAAGAGATTGAGTTACCCATACAAGTGAGATCAATATCCACTGATAGACTAAAGCCATTTGTACCACCAAAACCTAGCTATAAACAGTCATTTGCAGAAATTAAGTCAGTGTCAAGTGACCCATCAAAAGCAGATTCTCAAGCATTGTCTGTTATTAAACCGCAAACAATATTAAGTAGTGAATCAAAGAAAAATGAAACCCCATCAACAGTGACACACAAGGATCAACCAAACGAGACTTCATCAAGAGATACAAAAAGACTGGCTGTATCAGCTGTATCAAGCTGCAAACCACCATCCATCCCAGTCACAACAACTCCAAGTGTTGTGCAAAAATCCACCACAAAGACACTGGCCAGTCTGGATCAACAGCAATCTTCTACTTTCTTGCAAACAACCAGCACTTGCCAGCAGCAGACCCCATCATTCAGTCAAGACCAGTCACCCCAGTCAATGCTAGATAGTTCCTTTGCTTCTAACTCATCAGGACCACAAGCCCTTAACCACACACCATCTGTGACAAGAGCGTCATCTAATAATCGTTTTCACACAGATGACTATCTTTTCTACGCTTTAGATGATCCTCCCAGCTATGATGAGCGGGAGAGTTTCAGCCCGCTACGGCTCTCAGACTTACCCCCACATAGGTCATGCAGGTATCATCCAACAACTAAGCAATCTTCTTGCTCCTGCACGCCAAGTTCTCATTCGCATCAAGGACATCCCAACAACAGTCCACAGGAACGGGTACCAGCAGCCTCTCGGTCTCCAGGCCAAGTCCTTACCTGTCCCGCTGCTCCTCCGCAAGCTCAAGTACGTCCTCATCAGTGCAGACCAGATGGTCTACCAGTCTCCAATACTACAATACCTCATGCCTCAGCTTTGATTCAGCCTCTACACAACCCACAAGCTTGCCCTGTTTCAAACTCACAATCCTATGGTGATGACCATCCACTAGCTTCTGGGCTGCATGCAGATAGACTCTCAGCCAGTCACCCTTCACCTCAGGCAGCAGGTCCTGCTCCCTATCATGAGTATTCTCATTCAGCTAACATGTCTACTCTGGATCCCAGGCCTCAGTTGTTTAATCCTCAAGATTTGCCACCATCTTTTGGCCATGATTATGCAAATGAAGGTCCAGGTGGAGCTGGTGTATTGTATCCAGAGAATGCAAGTGGGCTCAGCTGTGGCCAAGGTCCTCGTCGTGTCCTTCTTGATCCTGAGACTGGCAAATACTTCTACATTGAGGTACCAATGCAGCCACTCAGAAAAATGCTGTTTGATCCTGAATTGGGCCAGTATGTAGAAGTTCTCATACCACATCAGGCAATGTCCCATTCAGGGCTATATCCACCAGCTGCACCGCCCTACTCCTCTTTGCACAGTCCTGGGTTGTATGCACCACAGTCCTGGCACCTGCCTTATGCAGTGCCATCTTACCCAGCAATCTCAGGTACTGCCCCGCAAGTTCGCCATCCGGAGCCACCTCCTGTGCCCACCACACTTCACCAGACTTCCTTAAGGTATGGAAGCCCTGCAAGCCAGATGCCAAAAAATGAACCAAAAGGCCTGTCATCGCTGGATCAAAGCTATCTAGAGAGCATGTATTACATCGCCACTGGGATGAATGCAAGCCCAAATGCAGCCCCTTCAGATTGCTACCACAAGCCATCAAGCATGCCTCCTTCAGGGGGACGAAGAGCATGAAACATCAGTGGATACATGTGGTCTGTTTACATTTGAAATCTGTTCTAGTTGGCAGCATTTTTAATTTAACCCTTAAATGCATGAATGTTTCGCCAATCATTATTACATATTCGGGTCTTTAGCGACCCGGACCTATATATCCAGCACGGATGGATCTCTAACTGCTGCAATAGCAAAAAACTCTCTTGATATTTTAAGAACAATTACAGAAGAAAAATAAAGCATATTTCGTACAGCATCAAATGACAGTGACATTTAGATTTCATTGCGAATAGTAATTCCTCTGCAGTAAAGCCATTCAAACCACTTAAATTTTTGCTGATGATATTCGTTTGTTTTATGCCTGCGGTAATTATGAGTGAAGGTATGCATTTAAGGGTTAAGTGGGATATAAAAACGTAAAATGTCTTGTCAAAAGTTGTAGCTACTCAGTTACAAGACTAAGATTGAAACAATATTTGTTCTGCTCATTTCATTTAAACTTTTACTCTAAAAGTCTCCTCAAGAAGACCCAAAACTTTTTTTTTCTGACATTGACATATCATGCTTGTCATTGTCTGATATAATTTCAGTTTATCATTTGAACAAATCCTTAACTTTCCTTGTATAGTCCAGGCTTATGCAATGGTAGGCCTTATCTTGCAATAGCTGTCAGGGTTTAAGGGTTTAATAAACAGTGTCTTCTTTTAACACCCTTAATAGTTATGTTTCTGAAGGGATTTATTTTGCTGCAATAATGTGTTTGGCATTTTCACCTCTAAGTGACATTATTTATCAAATACATAATATGACATGGCGTAATTGCTTGGTGCAACACCTTTGATGTGCACTGGGACATGCAAGTAGATGCTGTACATTTGGATAAATGTAAAGAATGTGGATGAGCAAGATCTACCAGTTCGTGAGTATTAAAATCACAGTTTTTCTTTTCACTTTCTATCTTCAGAAGATTGCCATTTGCTATTTTTTTACACATAGATACACCCCATTAAAGATATCTGTCTGCAAAATCAAAGTCTCAGTCTTTTTTCTTCATTGAATGTTAACTGCAACATATGACTTATTTCAGTAAGCGTAAAGCTAAAAGCTGTATACTTCAACTTCTGTAATTACTGCTTTAATTATATGACCACAATGTAAAATATTATGTCTACCGCATATCTTTTTTTGTCACATTTTGTGTAACAGTATTAAGCCCAGATGTAAAAGAAGAGTTTCCATTTTGGTAAATCACATTGCATCCAGTTTGGGAGAACCACATTTGCTAGCCACAACATACTGTAATACAAGATGACCCACTTAGAGAATAGGGACACTGCTGAGCTGTCGTTTTATCTCAGGATGACACCTAGTGGACAAGGTCTAACATCCTGTCTAATGCTTTCTTTTAAGGATGTGAATGAATATGATGTGGTGTACTTTGTGTAAGAGAAAGAAACAAATGCTGGCCTAATGTTATAGCCATTCTAATAATAAGTCGTAATTCAATTAGATCCAGCTGTAAATGGATAATATGGCCACTTTTTATGTATTTCCATCAACTCTGGGATCATTCTGTTAGCTAAGTAGCACTTGTTTTGACTGGTGTGAACTATTCTGGGTGTTTCTTTTATTTGGTTGTTCAACATGGCCGATGTGACATAATGGACCACCATGGTCTAAGCTGTGACGTTTTGTGGAAATGTTTCCACTTATTCAAGCAAACAGTCTTCTCCCTACTCCCAAATTGCAGCCGCACCCATAAATGACTGAATTTGATTTCCTGACCCGTCTGATCATACTGTAAGAAAGGCTGATGGAAGTGTCTGTGTGGGCAGACAGCTTTGTGGGGGAGAGGGCCTTGACTCTGTTTGTGGGGTGTTTGACTGAAAACACAAAGATATTCAAGTCTGCCCATGACTTCATTCAGGGTCCTCTGAGCAGACAGACAAGGGGAGTAGAGTGGAAATTAAAACAAGAATGTCTTAGGGCAAGGACTGATCTAGGGCTGCAACTAACGATTATTTTGATAATCGATTAGTTGACCGATTGTTTTTCCGATTAATCGATTAATCGGATCTTCTCATTTCTTTCTTTTTTTGACAAAAAACACTTCCACATTCTGCCCAATGTCCTTTAAACAAACGTGTCAACTGAATGCTATGAAAATAGTGCTTAACAATTTATTAGACACACATCATAATAAAGATAAAACACAAATATTTTAGGAATCTGTCAAAAAAATTGTTTAAATCTAAAAATGTTATTGTCATTTATTGGGCAAATATCAAACTAAGTAGGCTAGTATTTATTCACATATTAACAAGAATGTCCTCCTATGCCTTCCATAACAGCTTGCATTCTTGCTGGAGTTGGACGTGCACCGTGGGCAGACCCGACTAATCGATAATGAGAATCGTTGTCGATTATTTTCATTATCGATAATAATCGATTTTATCGATTAGTTGTTGCAGCCCTAGACTGATCTTTACATAAACGTATCCTTATGTGCTGTTCCATGATGAGTCAGAGAACTTATAGACACAACAACTTAAATATACCATTTCACATTATGTAAGGGCTAATCTCGAACAGCTGGCCATTCCGTATCTTTCTGAAGGTTTGTGTGTGATAATGACTGTAAATCAGGGTCAGTCAAAATTCAGAATTGAAGAGTTGGAGTCCCTTTCAAAACATGAGTTGGAATTTGGCAAAATCCCAACGAAAGTTGAATTTGAATTAAAGGAAGAGGAATTTATTGAATTATAATTTAGAGAAATTCAACAGGGAATGGGAAATGAAGTGTTCTTCCCCTATAATTTTATAGAAATATAAAGAAGAATACGCAATTTTAAGTACAAATTCCTGTAGCTCACATTTCAAATAAACATCTGCTTGTCTAGTCTTGTAGCCAGTGCTTCAGACTGACGGCAGAAGGTCTGGGAACCTTGGCCACTTTGAATGGCCAAGGACCACTCAAGAGGCCATAAGACTGACAGATAAAGCAACCAATCGCGTTTTTCAAGAGTCTATGCCTGAACTTTACATGTTTCACATACTTTCAAAAATGCAGCATTTAGTTGATCCTGATAAGCGCTCATTCTCACAGTTGTAAACACAATGGCTTTCTTCTTCGTGAGGGGGTTTGGCACCATGGCATCTTTGTTTCCAGGCAGAAAGTTAAAGAACTCGACAAACACGTCTCCAGGAAATCCTGTATAATTCAACCAATCCGACGACTTCGAAACTCCTGAAGTGTTTCCAATTTTGTGTGCCATGAGGCTGAGACGACTGTTTGTCTGTAAGGTCTATAAACCCTTCAAAACTTTATAAATTTTCAGGTAAAACTTTGTAATGCAATAATTTATAGTTTGTCTTGACAAACCTTCCCTTCATTGAAACAAATCCAGTTATATTTTACAAATACAGTTATATATAATTTCGGTTATTTAGTGTGGTTATTTTACATTTATTATATAAGTAGATAAGTAGATGGACATGAAATATTAACTTAACTTATTCAATTTGGTGGTCATAAAATATTTGACTAGAATACTGCGTTTGACAAATTTTTTAGAAGTACACTGAAGTACCATGCACACCATGTGTAAAATTCACTAGCAATTTCTGAGTGAAAATTGTTTGAAAGTAAATGTAGGACCTTTTTTTTCTTTCTTTCAAACAATTACAAAAAAAACAACAAATCACACTGAATTAAATGTTTTGTAATATTAGTAGTTATAGTATTTTCTTGTAAACTGTACTCCAATTTATTCACAACTAATATTTTTTACTGTATAATAAAGTGGCACTGTGTATTTGTTCAAATCTTAGTAGGAAATCTTTATTCCACTTCACAAATATAAAAATTAATATTTTTAAATTAAGTTTTAACAAAGATTAAGGTCTAAATCCCCCCAGGTGAGATTAAGGATTAACCCTTAACCCTTATCACAGCTGACTCCTTCAGCATGGCACTTAACCATAGGTTGCTGCAGGAAGGGGTGTCCCTTACATTTTTGTAGCATTAGTCGCTTTGATTTTTTTTTTTTTCAGGCAAAATAACCATAAGGAAGCAGCTACTTAGAGGAGTTCAGTTGCCCTTGTGAGGTGAGTAAATGCTATTGCTACATAATAGCTCATTACTCACATACTCATAAACAGAGCAGAAATGTTAACTTTGTCTTGTACCATGTTCTGCTTTGAAGGACAGACCATATATGGACGCATTCCGGGGATGACATCAACAAGAAGTGCAGGCATGAATGAACTTGCCTGCAGGTTGAATGAAGTCTGTGTACCTGCAGGATGATGGATCAGGTACGCAGGTTAGATTAGGAAACGTATTTCTGCTGCCCTTCCGGTCGAGTCATGTCACATATAGCAACAACTGAACCAAACAATGCTTCCGTTTGCAGGCCAAACCCCAGAGGGCGGAGAACAGACTGTTTGCTGAGGTACCAGCAGGTGGTGCAGTCACACCCACAAACATACACAACTGAGAGAAGAAGCTTCACCTGCCTATATTTCACTGAAGAGCTATTTTATTACGTCAGGCATTTTTTAAATTCCTGTTTGCAGACATTGACTTATTAACCACAGTCACATACACAGTGGCCCCAAACGTTTTTGGACATATAAGTCACACATAAAAACGTCTGAATTTCATTGTATTTGCATTCCATTTTTCTTTTCTGAGCCACTGTTTTAATATAATATTTAATATTTGTCATATAATGCAAATACAATTATATCTATGTATCTTCAAATACATGAGGTATCTGTAAAATAAAGTAAGAATAAAATATAAAATAAAGGAAAATAAAATAAATAAATAAATTACCACTTGCTTTTTTTTTTTTTTTTTTTTTTACTTTCCCTTTCCTGGAGAACATAAGGAACATATTTTGAATGTTACTTGATGACCTAAGCACTTAAGCACTTCTTTCGGTATGTCTTTTCCACAGGACACTGGACTCTCACTGAGGCCTGAAACTTGAAGGATGGAAGGAATTCGCAGTGAGACGTCGCCCCTAGAGAGCCTCTGTGTGTGTTGAGAGAATAAAACCACTAAACTATCAACAATTACAGGACAAAGGTGAGGGGAAATT